TGAATTCCATGCTGTACAAGTTACTTAGATTTTACAAATATATGAGCCATTCACAGCCCAGCACATGTATTTGTAAAATCTAAGTGACTCGTACAACATGGAATTCATATAAAATGGAATAATCAACAGTGTTATAGGGAGGTTGACTGTAATTTTTAATTAATATATCTGTGAGATAAAACTTTTATTTTATTCAGTTGTTCCAGAAATAGTAATTTAAAACACAAACAATAGAAATTTATTATTTTGTAAATTTTTTTACATACAAATTACATACATACAAACATACATAAACATTCAAACCTGATAGTTAAATATTAAAGCCAAACGATTGCCAAATTATGTCAGTCTATATTACTACTACTACTATTATTAATTAAATGCTAAGTAATTTGGCACTAGAGACAGGCATTAAGCACCATCTGCTAAATTTTATAATTAAATTGAGCAAGAGATGACACCTAACACCTGTCTCGAAATCAAAATGTTTGAGAAAGAGGAAACACTCATCCAACATCCAAACCCATTAGTTATATATTAAAGCCAAATAATTGATGAATTGTATCAGGCTATATTATTATTATTATTATTATTATTAACTAACTGCTAACTGCAAGAGTTGCAGGTTCAATTCCTGCTTTGAGTTGATTTTTTTCTTCTAGGACCTTCGAAATTATTAAATTTAGCAATAGATGGCACCTAATGATTGCCTCTAGTGCCAAATTACTTAGTAGTTAACAATAATACTAGTAATATAGCCCAATATAATTTGGCTATTGTTTGGACTTAAGTTTTTGTAATAAGAAAGAAAAACAAAGTATACCCTAAAAATATGATATTTCTAATTCAATAGAGCATCTGTCTTATTAATTATTAAGTGAAAGACAAGTTTTGTGTTAAAAAAATGATTTAGTAAAGTCTGCTTTAGAAGTATTGAAGACAAAATTTAAGATAGTATTTGTAAGCAGTTATTTATTGTGACATTGTCACAATACCAGACTGCAATTTTTAATCATCATTTAATTTAAAAAAACATATGAATTCTAGTCCAAACCAGAAATTCATGTATAGTTAATCTGGGTCTCCTGCCCCTAAGTTTNATAGTGGAGCACTCGTGAAGCTGTTGCCATTATAGGAAGCCTTTCGACATGGCCTAGCCACTGTAATCTGGTTTTAATCCGGCAATCAGCAAATGTATTTATTTAATACTGGAGAAGTGACATACTTCCATGCCCCAACAAGAACATTCACTGCCATTGATCTATCATTAGCAACTCCGAATCTGTTTTCAGCATTTTCATGGGAGGTTGGATCTAATCCACTCTCTAGCGACCACTTCCCAATATTTTTAAAATATCAAGGCAGAAAAAGCTGTGAAACAGCTCGTCCTCCACGCTGGAAACTTGAAATGGCAGATTGGCCTGCATTCTCCTCTTTGGTTGACATCACTGAGGAAATACTGCAGATATCAATATGCAGTTGAAGTTGTCACTTCCAGTATTATTCAGGCAGCTGAAAAACAATGGGAAAAACATCAACTAGATATCCAAAACATCCAAAACCAAGGTGGGACCAAAATTGCAAGGCATCATTTAAAGCACAAAAGAAAGCATGGGAGATTTTCAGAAGATACCCCACTAGTAACAATTTGATTGCTTTTCAAAAAGTGAAGGCAAATGACAGAAGAATAAGAAGGCAAAGCCAAAGGGATTCTTGGAGGAAGTATGTTTCTAGTATAACATCTTCCACTAGCTCAAAAGCAGTCTGGGATAAAATCCATAAAATCAATGGGAAATATGCTTCTCACTCTCTGTCCATGCTAGAAAATAATGGCACAATAATCAGCAATATACAGGGTATTGCTGATATGTTGGGTGAAACATTTTCGTCTTCATCCAGCAATATTATGTATCCAAGGAATTTTTTGGCTTATAAAGCCCAAAGTGAGAAAGAATATTTAAATTTCCATTCTTCATCTAATGAGGAATATAATGTGCCATTCACTAGAATTGAATTACATACAGCGATCTTTCGCTCAGGGAATAGTTCTGTAGGCCCAGATAAAATCCACTACAGCATGATTAAAGATCTGTCAAACAATTCCCTTTCTAATCTCCTTTGTCTGTTTAACAGAATATGGTCAGAACATACTTTTCCTGACTTTTGGAGGCTATCTATCATCATTCCATTCCAAAGCCTGGTAAAGATCACAAGAATCCCTCTAATTACAGACCAATCTCTCTGACAGGTTGCCTGTGTAAACTCTTTGAGAGGATGGTAAACAGACGTCTGATGTATCTCTTAGAGAAAAATGAACACTTTTCACCACATCAGAGTGGTTTTCGTAGGAACAGAAGTACCATTGATAACTTAGTAAACCTTGAAACATCTATTTGTGAAGCGTTTGTTAGACGACAGCACTTAGTGTCTGTGTTTTTTGATGTAGAGAAGGCCTATGATCGCTGTTGGTGATACGGGATACTCCATGATCTGTACCAATTTGGATTGCGGGGTAATTTGCCAATTTTTATAAAAAACTTCTTACAGAATCGAAGATTCCAAGTCAGGATGGGCAACACTTTATCTAGGCCTTTTACACAACAAGAAGGTGTTCCTCAAGGCTCTATTTTGAGTGTGACTCTGTTCCTAATCAAAATTAACAGCATAGCTAACTGTCTTCCTCCTAGTGTAAAACACTCTCTGTAAGTGGATGACTTTCAGATCTCCTGCCAGTCTAGTAACATGAGTTTCATTGAGAGACAACTGCAAACCTCTAAATCACATAGACAATTGGTCCAAGACCAATGGTTTTACCTTTAACACAGAGAAGACTTCGTGCATCCACTTTTGCCGAAGGCGTGGTTTGCACCTGGATCCGGAAATTTTCCTAAATGGGGATAAAATCCCAATGTTGAATGAGGCTAAGTTTTTGGGTGTTTCTTTTGACCAAAAACTCACCTTCTTACCACACTTGCGCAACCTGAAGAGTAGATGTTTAAAATCTTTAAACCTTCTAAAGGTACTGTGCTGCTCATCCTGGGGAGCAGACAAATGTTCTATGCTCAGGAGTTATAGGGCCCTTGTCCGCTCTAAGCTGGATTATGGATGTGTTGTGTATGGCTCTGCGCGAGAATCTACTCTTCGGATGCTGGATCCAATTCACCATCAAGCACTGTGTTTGTGCACTGGTGCTTTTCGAACTTCCCCTGTCCAAAGTTTGTACGTGGATGCTTATGAGCCTCCACTATCTCTCAGGAGAGAACAGTTGTCTCTTTTTTACTACATCAAACAGAAATCTCTGAATAGACTTTCAGCTAGTAGCTCAGACACTCAGCTGAAAAAGTTATTTGCAGCTCGGACAAGTTGTGTCCCTACATTCAACATAAGAATGGAGAATGTAAGCAGCACGATTGACCTGGACACAAGCAACATCTCACAGGTAGAGGTTAATGGTATTCCACCTTGGTCAACCCCACTGATAAATGGTGATTTAAGCTTAAAGCGGTTCCCCAAAGAAACCACACCAGATTACATCTATAGATAGCACTTTGCAGAAATTCAAAATTGTGACAGGAATTTAATTCCTATTTACACCGATGGATCTAAATCAGATAACTATGTTGGCTCAGCCTGTTTGCCAGGATGAAATCGTGGCAGAACAAATTTCACCAAATTCTTCCATTTTTTTCTGCGGAGTTGCAGGCTATTTATTTAGCCCTAAAGTATATAAATAGGAAAGGTCATCGTTGCTGCGCAATTTACACTGACTCAGTTAGTGCACTTCAGGCTTTGATCTGGTGTGAATGTCGTTCTCACTCTATAGTGATTAAAATTCAGAAATTAATTTGCCATCTTACTATGTGCAACTTCTCTATAAAGTTTTGTTGGGTCCCAGGCCACGTGGGTATAAGAGGAAATGAAGAAGCTGACACAGCTGCTAAGTCAGCAAGTCCTTCACAGATTACAATGCATATCGAAGGAGGTGATTTGAAGCTAGTCGTTAAAAATCGACTAGCAGAGAGATGGCAAATTATGTGGAATGCACAAATCCACAATAAACTACACGAGATCAAACCTTTGGTTGAAAATTGGACACGTAATAAGCAGTATGATAGGAGATCTGAGGTTGTCCTTTCTCATCTGAGAATTGGACACACTCGACTGACTCATCAATACCTTTTGAAGGGTGATGACCAACCTGTATGTCAATATTGCAATTGTACTGTAAGTGTTAAACACATACTTTGCAACTGCGCTGCTCTTGATCAATGTCGTAGACCGCATTTTGGAAATGCAAGTTTGAGAGAGATTTTGGGCCAGAGGCCAAATCTTGATAAGATACTGAACTTTTTGAAAGTTGTAAATATTTATAAAGAGATTTAATTAATTAATCAATTATTCATATACTTATTTATTTATTTATTATATACTTATATTTGTTTTGCTGTGTTGTTTATTTGAACTTATTTATGTTTCTGTGTTGTGTCTATATTTTGTTATATATATTTAGTCTTCTTTATTATTATTTTTTACCTATTGCTATGGTGCAGCATGGCCTGAATGGCCCTTGTGCCAGAAAACTCAAACCAACCAATCAATCTGGTTTTAATCACCTGTGTAATCATGGGCTTGTTGTAGATTGTCTGCAGTTCCTGGTTTGTTTTTCTCCTCCTCCATGTTGGTTCTCCATCGATCATGCTATCATTATCATCATAGTCTTCCACAAGTCCAAAGATTTTCCTTAGTATTTCGTTTTTGAATCTCTGTAGTTGTAGTTCCTCCTGCTTTGTCATTGGCCATGTTTCACATCCATACAGAATTGCAGATCTAATTGGTGATTTGTATACACTTAGCTTCATCCTTTTACTAAGGAGTCTGCTTTTTAGTATGTTTGTTAGCCTGAAGTAGATTTTGTTTCCCTGTAGTAAGCGTGTTCCTATCTCCTTATTGAAGTCATTGTTTCTGTTTGTCACTCCCTAAGTACTTGACGGATTCTGTAGTGCTGAATGTCATATTGCCTATGGTTAGATGTTCTTTGTGAGGTTCTCCCTTTTTAGAAATAACCATGGTTATGACCAGATATTTAAATAGTGTCTTTCTGGATCATAGTACAGCAGATGATCTCTCTGCATTTCTCAATGGCCTTTCATACTTTCAGACATTCATCTTGATCTAACAAAAATTCTTCATATCTGTATGGACGGACCAAATGTAAAGATAAGTTTTCTGAATAAATTAGAAGATCACATGGAGACACAGAATGTTGGTAAATCATTTGTGAGAATGGGAACATCTGGTTTACATGTAGTCCATGGTGCTGTAAAAGCTGGTTTTAAAGTAGTAGATTGGAATTTGTTACCACTGCTACAGAATTTGTACTATTTGCTAAAAGACTCACCCACTTGGCATGCTGAATACATTGCTATAAGTGGAAGCAGATTATTTCCCTAAAAGTTTGGTTTAACAAGGTGGTTGGAGAATGGAGAGTGCTTAGAACGTGCAGCAGAAGTTGTTGAATTTGTGAAGACATACATAAACAACAGTACAAAGTTGAAAGACAGCAAGGTGGCTACATTCTTGAGACAGGCACTCAATAAAGTTTAACTTTAATAAAGTTAAACTTTAATAAAGTTAAACTTTTATTTTTTTGGTCAATATGTACACAAAGTGAGAGTTTTCTCACCCGATTTCAGAGCAACAAACCTCTTGCACCCTACCTTTATAAAGCAGTTGTTCAATTATTAATGAACCTGATGAGAAAATTTGTGAAAAATGACATGATCACCGACCAGCAGTTTCTAAAAATAGATTTAAATGCTAATGAAAAGTTGGTACCTCTGAAGAAGGTACCTCTTAGTACCTTTGGATATTGGTTTCGGAGCAAAAATGGTTTTAAAAGAATTGAAAGTAAGCGACAAAGATATTCTGTGTTGTCTAAGAAATTGTCAAAATGTGCTGAAAGTGATGACACAAAAGATTATTGAGAAGGGACCTGTCAAGTACAAATGTGTGAAGACTTTGAGCAGCTTAGACCCAGAAATTATTAAAATGCAATCAAATGTTGGAATATTGTATTTCAATGTTTTACTGGACATTCTACATGATACAAACAGGATTGATGAGAAATGTGCTGTCAAAACAAAAGAACAGTATGATATGCTCTGCAATAAAGTGTCCATAAAACCCTATTTTTTGTAGAATAGGGTTTTATGGACACTTTATTGCAGTTTAAAGTTTGAGGACTTTATATCTGAAAGGAGTGATGATGATGGTCTGGACACATTTTATTGTGAAATTATGAAGGATGATAGGCAACTGCAAGATCTATGGTCTATTATCAAAATTTCTCTTTCTTTCTCACATGGGAATGAAGTGTTGAGAGTGGTTTTTTGGTTAACAAATCACTGTTGAGTGGAAATCTTAAGGAAGAAAGTTTAGTTGCTCAATGCTTAGTTTATGATGGAATCCATTTTGCAGGTGGTATTGATTAAATAAATATACACCAGAAAATGTTGTTAACAGTCAGAGGATCTAGACAGCAATATATTGCATCTCTGCAACAGAAAAAAGATATTCAGAAGCAGCAGGCATTGAGGGCTGAAGAAAAAAGAAAACTTACACAACAACTTAAAGATTTAAAACAACACAAAAAAATGTTAAGAAAAGATTACGAAAAGGAAGAAAAAGAGATTGAAATCAAAATAAATACACTTGAGGAAAAAAGCTAAAACTATATTAATATAATAGTTCTTGTGTTTTGTGAATTGTAATTCATTTTTTATTTTCTAATTATCTGTATTTTGAAAAAGAGAATTAATACTAAGAAGTTTCTCTGTATTTTAATTGTCCAGTTTGTAAAAAAATAAAAAGATTTTACAATAAATTAGATGCATTTGTTAGAGAAGCTATAGTATAAACTTACACCTTTTCCTCTTTATATACAATAATCAATTTTTTTACATAGGAAAAATGCTTTATTTAAAAATTTTTAAATTTAATTTTTTGTTAAAATTATGTTGCTGTTTAAAAAAGTTACTCTTTTTGTTGAAAGATTGGTTTTAAAATTGCGTGTTTCTAAGTCAAGAGTTCATCATTTTAAGCACAGTACAGTACTATTTGTTTATCAAAGAATACTGTTTGTTGATTTTATGCTACCTTGTATTTACTAGATTTACATACAAATAATAATGATAAATGATGATAAAATAAAAAGCTTGTGTTTTGTTTGTAAATTGCTTATTTTTTTATTACATTGAAGTTGTGGATTCTATCAAACATTTTTCTACAGGACATATGTACTGTATTTTTTTAATGTGGCAGTCTTTGAAGCATATCAACTGTGCAAAAAGAGGGATAGATGTACTCATTGTTCACAGTAAATGCTGTTTTATTATGTCAATATTTCACACTAAGAAATATGAGGGTCAGGGAATTTGGACAAAGTTGATCAGGGAAAGTCATGGAATTGAAAACAAANATATAGTAGAGCGTCGTTTATCCGAATCAATTGGGGACTGTGGTTGTTCGGATAACTTATTTTTCAGATAATGGATTATGTACGAAAAAATATATTAATCTATCCCGTGTTGAAATTTTTCTCTGTTGCGTGTCGCTTTGCATTGAATTTTCGTCTATGTTAAGCCTAACAAAAATTTTTATAATAATAATCTTGGCTATTGTATCATTAAAAATTAGTTCTTTATTTTGTGCAAAGAAAATAAATATATTGAAAAATATAAAAACAAAAAAAATTATACTTTAGGAGTTAATCTAGTATCAAAAATGTTCGATTCAGCACAACACACTTCGACTGGAATGCTTTCGGTTAACTGACGTTTTAGTTGATTGGCATTCGGATAATCGATACTCTACTGTATTTATAAGTTTCTCTTATTTCTGAATACGAAATTGTAAATGGTTCTAAAAATAAAAATTTATTACTTAATGTAGGAATAATTACTTAACCAAGGAATAATAACTTTATTTTAAAATCTATACTTAACTTTAATATCTGTAATAAAATCTATAATAACTTTATTTTAAAGTTGTTAATTGTTATATTTTGGATTAAAACATAACAAAGTTTATTATTGGGCTAAAATTTGAATAACTGTAGACCTATAAATTCCTGGCTATCTGTCTTTCTTAATCTCAAGAATGGTGTTAGATAGATGAAAGTCAAGACCAGATATGGAAAGTTTAGGAGCAGGAGACTGCTTTGGGCTGGAAATCACATTATTTCAATTTAAAACTTTTCTCCTGAATAAAGTTAGATACATAACTGGCATGACTTCATTGTTAACAGGAAAAGTAAGGTGTACGGGGCAAAACACTGCTAAACTTAAGTGCATTGTGATGATGTTGTAATAAATAATTGTACAAACATCGCTAAACCTGATATATAATATAGCTACACACCAACCGAATGCCAAAAATCTATCGGGCTAGTATAAGGCTAATTATTAAATGAATTACGTAACCAATTTGGCTTTAGAGGTAAGCGTTAGGTGCCATCTCTTATTAACATTAATAATTATAAATAAATAAATTAATTTAAATAATTTAGAACCGCTGGGAGGAAAAAAAAAAAATTAATAATTAGCTTTATACTAGCCCGATAGATTTTCGGCATTCGGTTGGTGTGTAGCAATAAACAATTGCTCTTTCTTTATAAAACTTGTATGTATAATATAATGATATTAAATAAATATAATTATAGTACATAGTGATATAATATAAATAGCACAGAATTTTATTAAACTGTTAAAATTTGATACAGAAATCAGTATATCTATGTAAAATAAAAATGTACTACGTATTTAATTAATCCAGACAAATCTGTAAAAAAATTATATGATTCTTTTACAGAATCATATTGACCTGGAAAAGGTTTAATATGTCATTTCACACATTTTTGTTAGTTTATTTTGCTATATTTATGTAATATTAAATTGAATGTGATGCTTGTGATTTTTTTAAATACAGAATGCTTTATTTATTATTGAAATTGTAAGAAATTTTCAGTTTATAATAGTTTCAGTTACAGGCATACTTCACTTTACAGCATTTTCCTAACAACATTTTACAGTTATACAGTAGAGTCCTGGAAACTTGGCCTAATGTGGACCGAAGAGTGGCCGAGTTTGTGAAAATGCTGGGTTATTGGGAATGGGGTTAAAAAAGAATAAGTACAAGTGTTTCCTCAGAAAATATTGTACTGTACTTGTATGTGTTGTTTGCTTGAGAATACAACAGAGAATAAACTGCCCAAATAGCCTTAAACAAAGGAAAAGTATGTACTTTATGAAGGCATAGAGTCTTTACTACATGAAAATGAAAATTAATGAATACACAGTGTACAGTAATTTACCTGATAAGACAGACCTCAGAAAAATACTTTATGAAGCATAAAGTTGTCTATAATGAAAATTAACTAGGGGGTTTTTCGTCCTGCCAAGTTATCCGGACTGCTGGGTTATCGAGTGCCGAGTTTTTGGGACTCTACTGTATTAATGTTTATTACAGTATTTTTAGTGCTACTTTGCACTAAAAGAATTTTTTGAATATTTTATTTAGTAGTTTTGTGTTGTTTTTTTAAGTCTAGCACTATTGCACATTTAATAAATGGTAGTGTACATTTTTAATCTTTTATGTGCATTAACTGAAAAAGACTGTGCTTTATTTTAATGTGTTATTCCTGATAGTCCTGTTAGTCTGATAGGCCGGTGTATTGATTTTAATAGTTTTAATTAAGCAAATTTTGTTTATTATGTTTGTAAACACACCATAAAATACATCAGAACAAAAATATTTATTACTAGAAATGAAGCGTTAAATAATTAGTTGATTTTTTTTATTTCATTCAGATAAGTCTAGACATGGAGTCTAGTTCTTATTCTTACATTTCTTTTCTCTCTCGTATCACTTTCTTTTGGAGTATATAACAAAACACGCCACATTTTCGGGGCGTAAAATAATCCTTCGAGGGGTCATCGTTCCGACTGAAAAGCATTAGTTTGCGTGCTGTTGGCAGAATTGTGTTTAAGTTTTTCCTTGAAAGCATAGCTTTTAAATTAAAATTTTCAACAATTACCTTATAATTTACAAATTAATTATCAGTTTAAATGAAAATAATTGTTAGTAATATATTCCTGTTTCTAAAANTAACATAACAGAAATTAATAATTACAATCATTAATAACTTAGGCTAAACAACATTTTAAATTAATTATTAAAAATAGATCAAACTTTTTAAATATTCAAATTTAATCAAAAAATAATAAGAGAATTTTCTTGATTCAATATTTGTAAATAAAAAAATATTTTTAATATTAATTAATTTTTAAAAAATGATATTAAGTTACATTGATGTATTTGTATATTCAATCGCAAGGTAAAAAAACTGAAAGATAGTGGAATCTGTAAAAAGATTGTCACTGTGGTACGACATATTACGACAAAACAAATTATAATTGATGGAAAAGTTGTCAAAACTCTAGTCGTTGAGGTAAGTCTATTTAAAAAACTGTAAAATTATTAAAATTAGAAAATATTTATATATATTATAATTGATATGAATTTTGTAAAAAATTTAATTTAAATTAGATATTAAACTAAAATACTTTTAGTTCTGATTTTTATTCTATTCTTGAAATATTTATTTACAAAAAAGTTGTTGATTTTTTTCCTGATTGCTTTATTAATATAATGATGTGCAAATGGTTAAGTTGTGTTGTTACCATTTAATCAGTGTCCCTTCACTAATAAATATTGCTAATTCATAAATATAAATATTAGTTTTTATTTTTTAATGTTTTTCCATATTTCTTTAACAACTTTACATTTTATGACACAAAATTAATTTGCCATTCATAATCAAGGCACAAATTAGCCACATCTGTAGTATATTTATTACAGAAATGTTTGTATTTGGCAATCAAAACAGAAAACTCGTGTTGCATTTTAAAATTTTGTATGGTTGTGTAAGTTTGCTGACGTTAAAGGGGGAGACAATTTATCTCGCGTCAGAATGAGCCTAAGGGAAACCGCGTATATGGGCGGTGGTGAAGGAGGCAAATGAAGCACAAGTGTTTTACAAGAGAAAACCCGTTTATTTGTTTGAATTCATGCTTACATTGATATTGGACAATTCCAAAATCTCGGTGCTCCTGTGAAACGATGAGAGTTCAGGTGATTGGTTGCAGCCCGGGCAGATGAGAAGGATCACTGGACGATGCAGATGTTCGGTGTTAGGCTGCGGCGTTCTAGGTGATCGGCCGTTGCACAACACAATACCAAAGTACAACTGTAGGCTTAATCCAGAGGAGACTCTCTTTCGACCTTGAAGTTCTGATTTTTATAGTTTTTCCCCCACTGTTCGCATTTCAGATTGGTCCCTCGTCCCATTCCTCACTTCCCGATTGGTCTCTCCTTTGTCTCCAGGTGCAAGACGAAACTTTTTCGGGTTGCGGGACAGGTCCGATTTGAGGTGTCCATCTGATACCTCTTTGTCGACTCTGTTCGGTGACTGTTTATAAAACAATAACACCTGCACTCATAACTCAGGCTGTTGTTTACCATTTCTTGACGTCTAAGAATTTAATGATCATTTTCATCTTTCATCTATCAAAATTTTCCTTTTTTTTTATTCGTAAAGGTTTATCTCGGCCAACATTTTATAGACACACGCGTCAAAGATCTACCTGTTTATGAGCGCTCGTGTTAGAGTTTGTCTTCCACTAAGACCTTGACAGATAGTTTGACACATACTCGAACTGTTCCGAGTCTCGTTTACATTTTGTGTCACGCAAGAATGTCACGGTTTACTCGAGTTTGCACCTCATCTGGGAACCCACAGTTGTTCTATAACACACAATTGATGTGTAGTTCTTATTCCCAATGCCTGCTAATCAGTTATAACAAGTACAGTACTTACTATGGGTAAAGACATACAAGGAAAAACTTGCCAGACAACATTATATGAGTTATCTTGTAGATAGCACCAATTATTTAATTGCCAACAAGATAATTCATTGTTGGCAGTCACCATGTTAAACAGAAAATTGTTAATATTTATGAATAGCAATTCCATAATCATTTATCATAAGATAAACAAACCAACATAAACCCACAATTTTTATATTTTAGAAATATTTTATTTCAGAATTCTAAAATATAAAAAAGAAATGTTTAAAAAATGTTTAGGATTTTTTTTCAAACTCTTTTCTATCTGAAATTAGAAGTGGAGACTTCTATTTTATAAATATAAAACATTTCACAATTCTTGGTGAATGAAAAAGTAGCCATTGGTAGATTTTATATCAAAATGTAATGTTTAAAACGTCTACACAAAAAAACTTTAGTGTTTGGAAAAGACAACATCAAATTATTATACAGTGATAGTTTCTCATTGAAATAATTATTAATTTGTTAATGACCTTACAATATATTAAGTTTCTATTGTGTTCATTGTTAAATTTATTTTTGTAGAGAATTGCATTATCCTTTATAGCTTTATTACATTATTTTTAGACTTTTTGACATATTGGTTTGCATTATGGTTTTAATTATAGAATGTAAACTGCAAACATTTTAATTTAGTTATGATTAGTTTTTTATTTCAAGATGATAAAATTTTAATTCTTCTATATATACATAGCTATATCCTAGTATCCAAATTTCTACTACAAGAATGATATTTGTTGATATTTATTAGGATATCCAAATTGAATAATTCTGATATTACAAATTTATTCAAAGCACATTTGTCAAAAATTTGAAAGTGGAAAGTATGGAATGACTTTGGTCCCAGCATCTATTTCATTTGTTTTAAGAATGATATCTGTATGCTACTGCAGTTGTGAGGTTTATTGATTTTTATTACAAAATTTCAGTACAGTTTCAGAGCTTATTCTTAACTGTTCATTTCAGTAGATTCATTTGTTTATTTTTATTGTTGTTTTTTTTTTATACAGTAATATTTAAAAATAGAATGAAAAGTGTTATTACAATATTTTATTTCTGTGTATTGTTTCTTAAAGAAAACACAAACCAAAGTTTTTGTTTTAGAAATATTTTCAGAATTATACAATTTTTAATAGGTGATACTATAAAAACTTGTTCATTATGTTATCATTAATAAATATATCTCTTAATGATCTCATTAAATGTTTATTAATTAGGTAATTGGAGTTTGTAATGTTTAATATCATGGTAAAATTGTGGATTGATAGATAAATAAGTGTTTTGCAATGTTTTAGTGTCATTCAGGAAAATTTGTTGTTGTGTTCAAATGGACTAGTAATGAGTTAGAATTTTTCCTATAAAAAATAATAAACTTTTTGGTATCTGATTTTCTGATATTTAAATTATTTTTGAGAATGCATCAGATTTGGATAATGAACTTATTAATTTATCAGTTTTGATTTTATTATATTTTTTCATTTTTAAATAATATTTAAACAAAATGTAAAATACCAAAAATTCAGCAGAAAAGTAATACTTTTTTGCTGGATTTTTTTGTTATTTGTGTTGTTTGCATTTAAGGTTTTTATTTGAATAATATGTATAATATAAACAAGCAGAATTAAAAAATGAATAAACTATTTCAATATTTCAGTGTTAAACATTTTTTTGTGATACAAAATTATACTTTTTAGGAAGAAGATGATCCATGTGTAGAATTTATAGAAGGCACTGGGTCTCCAATTGCTTGTTCTAGTCATTCTCATAGTCCCACATTAATTTCTCATTCATCTCTAACATCAGGAGAATTAACAGATGTTAGTTCTCTTATTACTTCCAAATCAGCAAACAGTAGTAATTCTTCAACATTTTTTACATTACCAGCTCATTCTTCGGTAAGTATTGAATTCTTAATAAAAATCCTGATACTATTGTCTATACCAGTGGTTTTGAAAATTATTGATACATGGGCCACTTAAATCAAATCATAGATAAAGTGTGGACTACCTACCACTTATCCTGTAAATATCACTTAGGTAATGATAGATTGTGTCAAAGTATGTTGTCTGTTCAATAGAATAATGTAAGAAATATGCAACGTCTTTTTTCTGGCTAAACAGAATAAAATTGCATTTTGGAAAAATGACGGTCAGTCTACGGACCATTTGGCACATGCTTACAGACCACATTTTGAGAATCACTGGTTTATACAAAACATCCATAAAGGAGAAAGTTTAAAAAAAAGTTACTATTTACAGACTATATAAAATTTGATGGATAGATCATTTTCAGTATTTCAAAAAATGTTTTCTGTAGAAACATAGACTATTTTTTGGATTATCATTTATTTTTATGAATTATATTAATAATATATATTAGAAAGAATTGAAATACTAAAAGAAAGTCAAAAATGCATAATTAAAATAAATTACAAGATATACAGCATTTTCTACAAATTAAACAAAAATAAATTATAATAAAAGTAATGCAATAACAATATTATGAAAGTTTTCACTTGTTTTTCTATAACTGTATGTTTTTAATATGTCAAATGACTTCCAAAATGTTGGTATATAATTGTATGCTGTATTAAGCAGGAAGTCCATTTAATTTTGGATGAAAATTAGTGTTGTAACGAATAGTATATTCGACCTGAGGCCGAATACCGAATATTCGGCCAGGAGCATGGCCGAATAGCTGAATATTCGGCCAAACTATTCGGCTTGATTAACGCAGGTACGAAAATTGGCGCGGAAACCTCATTATGGCAAGGACCCTGCTCTCTATTGCCCGCTGTCACTACACTTCGCCAATCACGTTAATTCTTGGCAGTTGTAGCGGACAGACAAGAGTGTTATGGAAGTATGTGATAAATGATGATATCAAATGACCTACACTTGTAAATAACGGAAAAAGAACAGAGAAGGACCGCGAAGTGAAAATGTGAAAATAGATATGAAATTGAGTTGATAACATAATCGAACAAATCGAGGCAGCTTATTGGCACGAAATTTGCGGCCGTCAATGCCAAACAATTGTTTCATAGACTTCGGAAAGCTAAATGCTTGAAGTCACTTAGCGTGCATGGGCGAAAGACTGGGGCCGTTCGGGCTATCAAGCTGTCTCGAATCTGTGAAATCATAACTATGACTTATATCGACGTCCTATCTGTCTCTTTTCTCCGTTATCACCGTTATCAGGCTGAGTCACGTAATTGTAAAATGGGAACTCTACAACGGAAAAGTGACGAATCGAAAGTATCGTGAGCGTATTATGATGTATGCACAAGCATACATGGATTAGAGCGATAGAGGAAAGAGAAAGGGAAGAGCAAAGACGAGCGCTTAAAAAGAAGGATAGGCAGGGTCAGACCCTCAGATGTGCGAAGATTCTCCAACGATAGACGTTTACGTGTGCTGATCTTTGTAATTATANTGGATTAGAGCGATAGAGGAAAGAGAAAGGGAAGAGCAAAGACGAGCGCTTAAAAAGAAGGATAGGCAGGGTCAGACCCTCAGATGTGCGAAGATTCTCCAACGATAGACGTTTACGTGTGCTGATCTTTGTAATTATAAATTGTGAATACATGTGACTAATATTATTTTTTTTATTTTGAGAATGTTATAAGTTATAAATAAATATAAACAAACAATACTAACTCGATAACATTAAATCTAAATACCAAAATGATTAATTTACTGTGTTTTTGTTATTTATTACTCCTGTTTTTAGGTATTCGGTATTCGGCCGAATAGTGATTAAATATTCAGTATTCGGCCGAATAGTGAAAAATAGGCCAAATAGGCCGAATACCGAATAGTAACCGAATATTCGTTACATCACTAATGAAAATACATGTTTAGATTAAATATAACTCTTAAATTTTCATAACTTTGTTATTTTATTATAATTTATGTTGCATGATGTTCTAGTAGTTGTTCAGTTCATTAAAATAAAAATCATGTTACTTCTTCAGTTTAATCTTAAATAAAAAAAAATAGAGTTAATTGAAATGCAACTAAATATAAAGAAATTCTGTGAAATCAATTATGAATGATAATTGTCAGTTTAAGTTATAAATTTTAAATCTGGAATTCTTACAATGCTTAAGCAACAAGGACTGTTTGTAATGAAAAAATTCTTCTTTATTCCTTAATTTTACATCTAGTAATGCTCTAATGAACAAGAAAGTACCACTCACAAACAATACCCTGATTAAAAAATAAACAATAAAACAATCAAACAATAACAAAGTAAAAAGTTGTTCAATTTATGTGTTATAATGACAGTCAAGCATCTAATACATTTAATTTTGTTATGTTATTTTTATAAATGAGTTAATAGTTAGGAAGTAAAATGCAACAAATAATTAAATTGACATGGATGAGTGTGTGAGGAAATCACCCAGCACTGAGGCCTATGCCAGCATTGTGCCAAGATCAGCCAGAAGTTAAGAAGTAGAACCAACATGTTCAGTACCATGCCCACTTGAAGATCCACAAAGGCAGTTGCAGTCTCTTCAACCAATTCATCAGCTGCCACATGATGTAGTGTCTCATCAGGGCAATTGCCTTGTCTGCAGTTGAAGTTTTAGAATCATCATTTGTGAAAATATAAATGATTACAGCTTAGGTTTGATTCTAGGCCTTCAAAATGTCAAGTCGAAACCATCACTTAATTCATCAAACTATTGAAAATTCTACTGTTCAATATAGTTAACAAAATTTGGTACCATTATGATAAATAAAGTATTCTCTACTGCTTTTTAAGGTAATATGTAATTAAAAAAAAAATTGTATTAAGTAGTAAGGTTATATACTATAGTTAAGTATTTTGTTAAGTTTGAATATAACTGTCAATTTCATGCAAGCATTTAAAATTGTTCTTATTTAGTGCATTCTTCAGTTTCTAAAATATTGTTGTTAAAAAATTCCTTTCCATAAGCTGTTTTTGGAATATAGGTCTCTAAACTTTTAAATGTTAAATTGATGATGCCTTAGAGGAGTTGAAAATGATTTTTCAAATAAAGAACTTTGATAACTTTAAAAAGCAGTAGTGGATATTTTATTTATATATAACTTGTTAGTTTGACAATATTGCAAATTTCTTCTATTGCTGACATAGTACAAACTTTCCAAAATTAGAATTTATAGCCTATGTAGACAGTAGCCATTTATATTTCACTTTTGAGTTGTGGTTCACTTATGGTTTTGATATTCAGTTTACAATTTGATTAAATTTCCTTTTTTTTTATTTAAAATCAAATTTACAACTAATATATATATATATATTGTTTATTTGAAAAAAGTTTATTTGTTTATAAGAAAGAAGTGATAAATTTGATGTTGCAAGTTATAACATATTACAGTTTAATTAAATAAGTGATAATGTAAAACTATCTATGATTACAAAGAAAACATTTCTTACCCTAGAAAAACTAATCTTCTCGTCAAATATCATAAGCATGAATTTATTATTATCTTCCAAAGTTTACTTTCTCCCTTATTGACTATTCAACTATATAATTTTTTATAAATAAAAAAAATATTGATTTATATAGATTAATTTTGTGTGTGTTTCAGCTAAGTAGAAATACTTTTGGTGATAAAAGTGTAATATCACCAAAGAGTGTACAATTTCAAGATCTTTCCAATATAGAAACAACACCAAAAAGAAAGTCAGCAAACACTTATGTCAGCTGTAATGAAGATCAATCAAAATTGTCCAGTTCAAACTTAACAAGCTCTTCACGGTGAAACAGAATTTCTTTTATTACAATTTATTAAATATTTTCTAAAAAAATGAATTTATTTAATTTCTATTCCTTTTTTTTTTTTTTTTTAGTTCTTACAGTCCTGAAATCTCTTATCCTGAAGCAGTTAGTTCAAATGTATCAAGATCTGTTTTGCCAGGCAAGTATAAGAAATTATAAAACAATTTTTAATGATTGCATTAATAATGAACAGATATATTTTAATCTAATTTTTATTTGTAGGACTCAGGGTTATGGCAAAATGGAAAGATGGTTACTATTATCCAGGAACAATTTGTTCACAGATCAGTGATACAAGGTATGTCTTTATTTTAAAATAGTTATTTTTAATTTTAGAAAATTTTAATAATTAAAATTCTTTAATTTTTTAGATGGACAGTATTGTTTGATGATGGAGATAGCAAACCTATTTGGGAAAAAGATTTGATTGCCATTTCACTCTTAAAAAAGGGACAAGCTGTGTATGCTTTATCAGAAGATGGTTGTTATGATCAAGGAATCATCAGAGACTATTACAGAGATGGAAAGGAAATTGGATATATTATTGAAAAGGAATATAATGAATTTGAAAAGTAAAATATATAACAAAAATTTTTTGCATGTAATGAAAACAAATTTTTATATAAAAAATATATCATTTTAATAATTAAAAATTTCTTTGATATAGATATCCCAGATCATCTGTAACTTTATCAAGTGAACAAGCTAATTCTCTCATAAAATCAAATTCAGAAATCACCGAATCACCTAGTGGAATAAATTTAGATAATATAATAGAAGGAAAGCGTAGGCATTCATCAAGATCAAATAGTTCACGTGAAAAGAAACAAAAGTCACCACGAAATTTAGATTATAACAAATATAGGAATATATTAGAAAGAAAGAGTAGTAGCGAAGAAATAAACAATATTGGTAAAAGTCTGAAACAAAGTGGTATGAAGCAAAATACTAGATCATCAAGAAGTTCTGACAGTAAAAGTGATATTATATCAGATTTTAAACAGGAAACTCCGCAAAAAAAGAAAGTATCTGATTGTAAAAGAATTTTATCTTGGAAATCTTCAATGAATGAAGGATCTGATGAAAATATCAAAGTCTTGCAAAAATCTAGTTTTCTGTCAAATAATCAAAGTAGTAAGTTACATATGCATATTTATAAAATCTTTTTCATGTAAACTTAAAAAGTCATCAAATTTTTCTGTAATATTTTTGAATAGGTCAATATTAAAAATATATTTTCTTCATATTTTTCAAACTTAAGAAGTTTGAAAATTTGTGAATTTTGGTGATCTGTATGAGCCAAATTACTGTTTTGGGCTCATGTAGATTTTCTTTATAATTTGATTCAGCTCACAGTTCATTGTTTTTAAAATAAAATTAAAAAATACTGAAAATTTTGTATATTGGCCTGGCTGTTGTCAAAAATATAAAAAATAAGATTTATTATAATAATAATATTTTTCATTTTCTATTACAGTAGAACCTCGAAAACTCGGCTCTCGATAACCCGGCACTCCGGATAACTCGGGCACACCCTGGCAGGGCAAAAAATTCCTTAGTTAATTAATTTTCATTATAGACAGCTCTATAAAAGTATAAATGCTCTCATAAAGTATTTTTCTGAGGTCTGTCTTATCAGGTAAATTACTGTACACAGTGTATTCATTAATTTTCATTTTCATGTAGTAAAGGCTCTATGCCTTCATAAAGGACGTACTTTTCCTTTGTTTAAGGGTATTTGGGCAGTTTATTCTCTGTTGTATTCTCAAGCAAACAATACATACAAGTACAGTACAGTATTTTCTGAGGAAACACTCGCACTTATTTTTTTTAACCCCATTCCCGATAACCCGGCATTTTCACAAACTCGCCCACCCTTCGGTCCACATTAGGCCGAGTTTTCGAGGTTCTACTGTACTCTGTAAAACAAACATTAAAACTTATAATCCATACATGACATTTAGACAAATTTTTTTCATATTTTCAGAGATGGATTAACTATTCATTCATATTTTAATATAGAAATTAAAACACATATATGATCTCTTAAATTATATTTAAGAGATTAAATATCCAATATTTATTATATAATATATGTAAAAGTTATACTTAATATAACTCTCATATAATCTAATATTAAAACTCTTTTATGTAAAATGTCTTAAGTGATATATTCATTTACCATCAATTGTGCCATTATTTTAATTAAATTAATGTATAATGAATATTTTATTATATAATTATGAATATAAACCAGATAAAACTTTCTTGTATGAAAATTTTTGTTAATTAATGTGTTATGTAGCAGGTCTAATTGGCACAGTTTACAAAAATACTGTTAATATATGTTTTATTTTGATTATCATAAAGATTTTTATTTATTTTAATCTGTGAATAAATTTCATTTAAATTTTTTTGATAATATCTAATTTAGTAGAGTTAAAAAAAATATGTGAAGGTTTGATTCTTCCAAAATGCAAAATAATTTTATTTATTATTAATAATATATGCCATAGAAAAATGAAATGTACTTATACAAATCCTTTATGAAATATACTAGTTAATTATAAGTGAACCATCACCATTTAGTCTATTAGAAGCAAACTGTAATGAATACTGTCTTATTGTAAAATTTGAAAGTTCTCTTACAAAACATGCAGAAAGCATGTTACTTAAAAAATCCTGTAACTGCCAATATTGGCACTATAGAACTATTATTTTTTATACAGTAAATTAATTGTTGTTTAAATCAGAACATCTGTAGATGCAATTAATTTACTACATAAAAACATTGTCAACTTCCTGGAAAACATGTTCATCAGGCTGCCACTTTGTTCTTTTTTTTAAAGAAAGTCTCTAAAAAGTATTTTTTGTACACTGCAATTTTATTTGATTTATTTATTATATAATTTAAATGCAGTTATTTAATACATTTCCCATGTATACTGCAACTTTGAGATAATGGATGTACACACATGCATATACATACACAATATATATATATATAATAATTTGATCCTGGATTCCCAAAGCAGTAAAATAATTGCCTCAGCCATTCAGTAGTCATTTTTTTGTGCTTACTAACACCAATTCAGATTTTTTAAGTTAATATTTTTTCCATTAATATTTAATATATAGATAGAAGTTAGTTAATTCTGCACTTGTGGAACCAGAATGATGCTGGATTATCAGGTGCCAGATTAATGAACTTTTATTGTACTTTTAAATAATAAACAAACCATAGTAGTAAGTGTAGAATGAAATTTTTACAGGTTAATCATAAAATTTACTTAACTAATAGTTAAATACAGTAATACCCTGACTTACGGAGTTACGCGATTTTCAAATCTGGTCGATTCGTCTTTTGTTCGAGCGCCACGCAACTCTCGATTACTCGCTCCCCCCACACTATTGTTCAGCTTACATGTTCGGACGTGGCACGCGGAATCAACACATAGCTACAATTTATTTTGTGTTATTTATTTCTGTGTTTGTTATATGTATGGAGACTTGAGCGACTCTATGTGGTGATTTCTTGTAACCGTGAACAAATCAAAAGACGAGATAAGATTAACGAGAACATTTATTAGCTTACATACATCCAACTTGGATTTTACACAAATTGCGAAATTATACCCCGACTTACGTGAATTCGACTTACGCGGTTATCGCTCGGTCCCACCTATTGTGTAAGTTCGGGGTATTACTGTATTAATTTAATGACTTCTTTAGTAAAAATGACAATTTTAATTAACTGTTTTTATATACATAGATGATCAACCAACTCATACTTTTAAATCACCTAGAATACAAAAAGCTGAGAAATGCAAATTATCAAAATTGACAGGTATGTATGAAGTTTTAAAATATATAAGTAAATATATATAATATATCATGGTATAGAACCATTCATAGCTAATTGTGAAATTATAATTTTTAGCTGACAGATTTGAAAATTGGATTAACCAAAAATAGCAAATTTTTGGTAATTGCTCACCAAAAATTTGCTATTTTACATATCTGCTTACAATCTTAAATAGAATGTGTTGAATATAATAGGAATACTCTGCTATTGAAAAACAGCAAAATGTAGAATTAGTCACTTATGGTTCTATACCAATAATATATATAAGATATTCATTTTAATATACAGGTCATTTCATTTACTGTAAGTGTGTAAACTAAGAATCTAGAATATAAAAATGAATTTATTTTAGAAGTTGTGGTGTTACAAAATAAACAATGCACATAAAATAGAGAAAATATGTTTGAGCTTTCTGTTATAGTAACAAAATCAAATCTCCATAGTCTGCTGCCTTTGAAATTTTGTTTTCACACATCTTAAAAGGTTATGGAAGCCTTCATTCATAAATCGGTAAAGCTTGTTCTGAATTCTTTTATGAAGTCCTGTGATAGAATTGGCTTCCCATCTGCTGTCACTTTCTGCTTTAACTGATACTAAAACCATTCAATTGGTCTCAGTTGTAGCACATTGTTTTTGTGAGAATGCCAGGGGTAGAGGCAGTTAACTTTTTTTCCCACTAACACCACATCTATTCAGGATGATTTATATTTTAAGTAAAAGACTGAGAGATCACAAAAAACCTCTATCTATGTCAGGTCCTGACCCAGTTAGGATTATTTTGATTTTGCATCTTAACTTGTGAGTAAACATTAGTTTGCAAACTGAGTGGTATTAAGTATCTAGGAGGGTATATGCTTTTACAGTGGGAAGTCAATGGAAGTAGGCTATAGACAAATTACAATAAATTAAACACATTTATTTATATGTAAAGAAAAGGATTAAATTACAATTAAAATATGATGTCTGTTCAAAAAATACGTGGACTGTTTGAATTGCGCAGCTCCAGTTGGTTCCAGGGGAATCTGCTTGGTGTTGCTAGGTTCGTACAGATCATCTGGTGATAAAGCTTTACCAATTACAGATATCTTTATTTGTTGATTAGCTACGTGGTTTTTAGTTAAGTGCGATTTTTTAAGGATACCAATTACAGATATCTTTATTTGTTGATTAGCTACGTGGTTTTTAGTTAAGTGCGATTTTTTCGTTCGTCGGATTTCAGAATGAATGACCTGATGGAACAACAACTTGCTGTGAACTTTTGTGTTAAACTTGGAAAATCTGCGACTGAAACATTTGCTATGCTCAACACGGCTTACGGTGATGTTGCTATGAAGCGTATGGCATATTTCAAGTTTGATCCAGTGTCAAGGTGATGCTGACAGTTTTCTTTGATGCTAAGGGTGTTGTTCATCATGAGTACCTCCCCCAAGGCTCCACAGTGAACCAGACTTACTACATTGAAGTTCTGAAACATCTGAGGGACACCATCTGTCGCAAAAGGCCAGAAATGTGGCGGAGTGGTGACTGGTTTCTCCATCACAACAATGCTCCAGCCCATTCAGCCCTCAAAACTCGTGAGTTTTTGGTCAAACACTCGATCACTGTTCTTCCCCGCCCCCTACTCACCTGACCTTGCTCCTTGTGACTTTTTCTTGTTCCCCAAACTCAAAAGACCCTTGAAAGGAAGATTTGAGACGATTCTAGAGATTAAGACAAATGCGACAAAGGTGCTGAAGGACATTACAAAAGAAGCGTACCAGGACTGTTTTAATAAGTGGAAACACCATTGGGATAAGTTTGTACATTGGGAAGGAAGGAGAGTGCTTTGAAGGGGACCCAGACATGTAACTTTTACATAAAGTACATTTTGTTTTATGACATCAGTCTGCGTATTTTTTGAACAGACCTCATATTATTTGAATGATTAATATAATAAACTGATAATCGAGGGATTAAGAATACAATGAACTAAATATATAATGATCCAAATGATTCTAACTCAAATTACAAAAATCTTCACAAGCAGCAAGAGAACTTACAAAACAAAATCATATTTGTTTCCTGTTTGACCATGGAGGCAATGAGAGAACCTTTTACATTTGGGAGAAGGTGAGTAAAGTTCAGTTGACATATAACCTAGTATTTGGTGAAGGCACCAAACATATATCAAGAACTTTATCCAATATTTAAGGGTAACTATTCTCTGTGGCTAGTAGCATGTTAAACTATAACTAAAAACATTCATCCAAGGTGCTCTTCACCTTACATATGAATTTGGTGGACTAATGAGAATGTCTACAGTTTCTTTCTTAAACTCTGTTACTAAGAGAACTATAAAGTGTGACTTTCATTTCTAAAGGAACTATCTTGACTCAGAGGAAGTTGAAGATGGCAAACATTGATAAAATTTCTATCTTTTCAAAATGAAATAATATTTTAAACAATATTAATTTTAAAATACTAAAACATTCCGTAATAAACTCCCAATTCTCACATTTTCACAAAGAATGTACTGTATCCCATGTTGTTCAAAGGCAGCAATTGTACCTTGAGCATAATGAGATGTTGACATATCTGGCAAAAATACATCATCTCCACTTGGATAGTGCTTTTCAAGAATGAGACTAATCTCTTCTGGATAACTCTGTATCATATTCATATTTGATATTTCCATGTTAGTGCAAAATTTAGATGGTGTGATGAAGGCCTGAGACTGCTCAAGAGGGATTTCCTGTGAAGTTCCTGTGAAGATTTTGGCATGCCATACCATAATCTTCACAGGAACTTTGTGTGACATTTTAATTTCATTTCTGGTATGGCATCCTTTTCTTCATTTATCATATATTATGCTTTTGGAATGTCCGTACATTTAAAATATTTTATTGAAAAGTTTATTCCTTATCAGATTTCTAGTATAAAAATGTTCAATGATTTTTTACATTTGTCTTGTTTTAGGTCTTCCATTCCTAAAAGTTGAGCAGTTTTCATAGAAAGAACATTGGAATTGAATTAGCAATTTATATGCAACAGAAAATTTGCACATTCAATTTCTTTTCATATGCGCATGTATGTGTCAAGTAAAAATCCCAAAAAACAAAGTTATTTTGAATTTTTACATTTTACACGTATAAATTAATCAACATTTTATTTTATTTTAAAGTATTTGTTCAAATTTCATGTAAATAATTAAAATTGAGTATTTATACAAAAATGATACAAAGGTCCAAGATTTTATATGGGATCTCCCTAGCATTTTAAATTATTATAATTTATATTAATTACTAGCAGATGAGCCCAGTGTTGCTCAGGCAAAAAATAACAGCAGCAAAGATTAAGATTATTAGATTATTTCATACTTCTAACCCTTCTATTATATTATATTATAGTATTTGATTTATATCTACAAAGATTATCTTACATAAGGATTTATCACACAAAGTGACCAATCTAACACATTTGTAAAATTCTTTATTCCTCTACTGTACACAATTTAAAGAATTTTTAAAATGTATTAGATTGGTCAATCATTGTGATCAACTCTTACATAAAATAACCTTTGAAGTTATATAAATCAAATACTATTATATAACAAACATTAAAATGAAAACCATATAAAGAATTTGGTTATTTTAGCCTACCACTGTCACATTTATCACGATACTTGAATGGTAAGAAATGGTACAGTTTTATTGATCAAGTAGACAGCAACTGAAAATATATGTTAAAAATTTGAGATATATTTTTTCCTAATGTTAACTCCAAGAAACTTTACCATTCACAGCCAAATATCAAACAGTAATTGCCAACCAATCAAATTTTGCACAAAAAAAAAAGGACCAAATATATAAACTCGGCACCCTGAATAACCACTTAAAACTTATTTTGTGCTTGTCAGTAACCTTGTATTATGTAATTTTACTATTTGAATGTCATCATACCGCTGTTCCAATATAAAGAAGGATTGTTCTGGAAGAGCAGTTGATTTAATTTGACCACCAGGAGGAAGTCAATGACTACTTTTAGTTGTTGACTTCTTCCTGGAAGAGAGGATGGTCAGTGACTGCTAATTAATACTGGTCAATTGTTAACATTTGAAAAGTGATTTGTGTTAAACAGGTTGTGATGGCCCCATACATGATTGAAGTTGCTAACCTTAACATCTGAAAGGCTTCATGTAAAACTTGTTTAAATAAACACACAAAACTTGTTTAAATAAAAAAAAATTTGTAAAAATGCTATAATAATTCCTTTTATATGATGATAAAGTGTTTAAGTTTTTGGCAACAGATTGTATAAACTATATGGGAAGTATGTTCTCATAAATATTGCATTTATAGAAAAATTATTGGGCTGCAATTTGAAAAAAAGTTATAGACTTATAAATTCTAACTGTCATTCCCTATCTGCTTGTCTATCTCTCTTTCCTTAATCTCAAGAAAACAGATAGATGAAAGTCAAGATTAGGTGTGGAAAGCTTAGGGGCAGGAGGCCCAGATTATATATGAACTTCTGGTTTGAATCAGAAGTCATTACTTTAATTCAAAATTTTCCCCATGGAGTTACATAGATGACCAACACGACTGTATTGCTAACAGGAAAAGTATGATGTGCAGGAGCAAGACATCACTAAAAGAATTGAGAATATTGTGACAAAAAGTTGCAGCCTAGCATTGTGATGATGTCGCAATAAATAATCACTTGTTAGAATTAGTTTGATTTATTTGGTTACGGTAATGCGACACATGAGTGAACTGCTGAAGGGAGTACATCTCAGGAAGGCTTATGGGGAGTGGACTCTATTTAGGTGTTACTAAAATGAAGAAAAACCAGAAAGCTCCATGTGGCCAGCCTGTTGGCTATGCCCATACCCACAACTAACTAACTACCAGAGTTTGGTGGTTTTATGCATTCAGCTACTGGAGGATGCTTATTAGAATTAAGAAAGTACTGTTCAGAAATGAAAAAACCCAAGTCATTAGATGTGGAAAATTAAATACTCATAGACTTTTCACAGGATAACACTTTCAATTCCATGCAGGCAAATGCTATATGCTACTGTCTCAGTAATGATTTGTCACATTGATTAAGTGACTATATTATATATATATTTTAAAATTATACCTTTTTTTGTAAGAATTATATTTAGTTTATTATTTGTTAGATTCATTGCCAATAGATGATGCTACATGTAAATCAGCAAATCAAATGTAGATAGAAATTAATTGATTTACAGAAATCCAATAGATATTTTGGGGTGGAATGTATGATATTATCTAAGTTAGAAGTATGTAAGCATAACTGCCGAGTTTCATAGCAATCGGTCAAACAGCCTAGGATTCTTAGCAGTCGGTCAAATGGTCTAGGAATACTCCTAGACCATTTGACCAATTGCTATGGAACTCGATAGTAAACAAACAAACAAACAAACATCTTCATTTATTTCAAAGATTTTCAAATTTTCTATAATAGGAATAAAAATTTCGTTTTACAGTTATTTTAATTTTTAATAATTTGAGATATTTGAAAGATGATTAAATAACACAATTATACATATTATCTGAGAATGTTGTATATTTAATGTAATGTACTGTACATTAAAACAATAGAAAACTGTTCAAGTTTCATATTTTCCATTACAATTTCTCATTGTGTCATACACAGTTAATATCACTTAACATACACATTGGCCAATATATCACTACATTTGAGCATCAGCTTATTTAAATGAGCTAAAGCTGGACCAAGCAAAGGACCAGAAACATTTTTATTAAACTTTAACACAGTTACATTTAAAGCCTTAATTGTAGTTGTGCTTTACTCTTCTTTTCAGTTTTTAATGTCAGAAACTAATCTTTTTAGATTTCATAAAATTAACATTTATGTTGCTTAAGTAACACATTTGTTATAATCAAGTGTATGTTCAACAGGAGAGATTGGAAAGGTTGAAAAGAAAAGACTATTTGTAGGATATGCATTCCTACTTACTTCTGCAGAAAAGAAAACAGATAATAAGGAGTTTCTTTCTTCAGATTCTTGTGTAGATATATCAGAAGGTAAGTATCAAATAGTTTAGTATTGATAGTTAATGCTTTGATTAACTAGTTAATCCATATAAAACAATTCCTAAAATTATTAAGGTTTAACTTTAAAACATTTTTTTTGTGTAATTTACTTTAAATTGTTTTTAGAAATAATCTTTTAAAAATTTTGTTTTAGATTTTCAAATTATTTTGTATAATGGGAATAAAAATTTCTTTTTACAGCTATTTTAATTTTTAATAATTTGAGATATTCGAAAGATGGTTAAATAACACAATTATAAATACATTTTTTTTATAATTGTAAAATAAAAACATTGACTTACAAATAAGTATTTTAACACTTTAGCATTGAATTATATACAGTATAATATAATAATGTGTAAATTTCTGAAATCATCAACACTGATGAGTCAAAATACAATATCTTGTTTCCAAATTCTTTGTGACATTCAGTAATTGCTTGCAGAAATGAATAAGCCATAATATCATTGAATATTGATATTGCCAGAATATATTCATTAAATTAATTAATTTTTTAAAAATTATTATTTTTTACACACTTTCTGTTCTGTGGACCAATTTAGCAAGCCCATTATGGGTTCAGTCAACTCCACAATGGGGTGACTGGGTGGTGAGGAGAGGAAAAATTCCTGGTGTTTTTGACCTGTCTGAATTTAGTCCTGGTCCCTCAGAGTGGTAGGCTGCCATCTTAAATCATTCAAATTCCTGACTAGAGTATGAGGTTTCATTAGAATGTTTAGATTTAAATAGATTGAGTATTAGGATAACTGAAACTGAACCATCTTAAAATTTATTTAAAACTACAAACTGAGAATCAGCACAAATAAAGATTATAATGTGAGATCATGTTTGAGGGCAAAATCCTCTGGTCATTGGGATGTTAAGACCTGCTCACCTGGTCACTGGATGGCTTAAAATATAGAATATAGCTGAATCTCTCGATTCGTTCAACTGTCAGGACTGACACAGCTAGGGAAAGATTTCACACCCTAACTCACAATGTTACATGTAAAATTGAACAGAGGGCTATATTCTGTCAAGCGGGAAGGAGTCGCAGGTAAATTCGAGCGTAGCAGGGTGAATGTCTGTACTTAAATAATTGAGGGAATCAATGACTTCAACAAACGACTCAAACGGCGCCAGAGTTGAATAGTAGTAAAGTGAAGTATGTAAAATGTAACTAAATTTCCTGTATTTTTTTTGTTTTAATATTCTGAAAGTAAAGGTTGTTGGATTATAACCGAAGGTGTCCTTCTTTGCTTGGAGAAACAAAGTCAACATTAACAATTTGTAACAATTTATATTTAATTTTGTAACAATAACAAAAAAGGATTTAATGAGGGAAATAAAATAAGAGATACATAAATCATAATATAACCTATATAACTTATCGCACACCTGTAGATGCATAAGGGAGAGAGTTTACAACAACTTAGACATACTATCTTGATTGAAGGTTTTGATGTTAGTCTTTTTATTCTATAATGAAGGCGGTGAAGTGTTGTGGCAGATGAGGCTCATGGAGGAAGATGTGAGAGAAGACTAGAGGCTTTTTTCTCAGCACAAAAACCGGCCGTCAATTATGGCAATGTCGAGTTTCCATGGACTGCCTGTCTCTTATGGCACTTTTCTAATTCATGTGGACTGTGGTCTATATGGCACTTTCCTATTTTTGATGACTGCCCGAAATCATGGGAAATTGTCCCTTTTATCATCAATTTCAACCAATAGAATTTATTGATTTATGTTCGCAGACAGGAGTCAGATACCTAGATGTTTGTTAAGATTGACGATAAATTTCTGTGAAAGGAAGTTGATTTCCCTTTCCAACTCAACAATATTACTTGTGTCATCTGTTTTTGTAAACAATATAAAAAGATAGATATATTTTCCCACGGAATTTTATGATAAAGTTCCAATTCTCACAAAAATATTATTTGAAATTTAATGTTTAAAAATTTTCAGGATTGATATTTAAGAAACATTTGTTACATTTGCTTTGATTTAATTATTAACTTTTTTTTTATATTATAGAAGAAGTTATAGATGAATATCCATTTGAAAAATCAGTAGTGCAAAATCAGATAGAGGCTAGAGGTGGAATAGTATTAGAATCAATAGAAGAAATACAGGTATCTAAATATTTAATTTGCTCAAAGAATTTCTAACAATAATTCATAGACTTTATGAAAATGTTGTAATTAAAAACTATTTAATTATTGATAAAGAAAATTGATAATTTACAAATATGATAACAAGATGTTTCTAGCTTATTACCTTTTTCTCCTTTTTTACTTAAAACTAATAAAAGAAAAAAATATAATATGTCTGTATCATATGGCATAGCATACAATCTTAATTATTTAAAAACTATTTTAAATATTATTTTCATAATTATTATTTTTTAAGATTATTTGATTAATAATCCATTTTAATATAGAGTAAGTGCTATAAGTTGTGGTACAAAGTGTTTGAATTAAATTCATAAATAAATTACACCTTCAGTCATAATCAGAATTATATATTACTAGCTACAAGGACCTGCTTTGCTGGGTTTTTATTTGTATGTAATATAGTTTTTTTTATATATAAAAGACTGTTTTTCTAAGTAATCTAGAATCTAGCTGCAAGGACCCGCTTCGCTGGGCAAAAAGTAACGATAGTGAAGATTAAGATAATTACATTATAGCCAATCTTACCCGTTTTCACAGAATGCAAGAATTAGGTCCCCGTTTCCAGACTAATTACAGAATTTTTACATCCAGTCAAACAAACTATTTTCAATTTGATCAATTTTCTGGAACGTTTACAATTGTTCTATAACCGAACCAATTCAAATTCGAAAATTTTTAAAATCGAAATAGAAAATCTTCCACTTTCAACCACTTTCAAGCCCATATCTCCCGCACCCTTATAGCTATCGAGACGCAACCACCATAGTGCACGAATGGAGACTTGGGGCTACTACCACATACAAACACCATTCATGTGCGATGTGTAGTTTTGGCTGAAAAGTGAAATATAGGGACACACACGTCCATTTTTATATATATATATATAGATTACTATTGAATAATTGAAAAATCCTAAAAAAGCAAAAAGATATCTATGGATGATCATCTGATTATGGTTATTTTTTGAGATTTGTGGACAGTCATCTCTTTCTTAATGCTGCATTTATAATGACAACTCTTGAAAGCATTTAATGATCAATGTATATTGGATATAAATTCTACAACATAATAAATAAGAGATTTAAATAATAATCCAATTATAAATAATAGTTAAACAATTTTTACTATTAAAAGAATACTAAAAGTAATTTATCTAGCCCAAATTTGTTAATCAAAAACATATGATATAATATAGTAATTACAGCGATAATTATTAATACACAGTATATTTCAACTATCTAAAATTAAATATCTATTGTTATCATTAGCACATTGCTTTAGAAATTTTACTTCTTTTTATTTGCTTGATTCTAACCAAATTTTCTTTTTATCCAATACTTTGAATGCTAGCATAATTTTATGTAATAAAACCTACATAAATTAAAAGTTAATTGGATAAACATATCTGAAAGTATATGTAATAGAATTTACATTTAAAATATATATATACAGTCAGACCCATTTACCCAAATCAGACAGGACTGGACTGGACCAAGTCTAGATTAACTGGGGTATTAAAATAAGAGTCTAAAATTCCATACTGAAAATACTTTTTAATGATTGAAAATAAATTTACATGCTTTACTGTCTTGAAAATAATAGGAACATAAAAATTACTTCATACATATAAACAGTATGTATTTTTATCCTTGCAAACATGAGATTGCTACATGGATAATATTAAGGTTGTAAATGTTTGTGCTTCAGTGATCTCACAAACATCACAAATATAAAAATTTTTCACAAAACATATAAAAATTTAAAAAGAAATAACTATTCAAACCAATCTGGAATTCCAGAAATTTGGATGAACAGGGTATGACTGTGTGTTTCTACTATATTAGTTATTTGTTAAAAATTACATTATTAGTTTTTAATTAATTCAATGTTTTAATTATTATATATAATTTTTGTGTAATTATTACAGACAGTAAAGGCAAATCAAATTTTCCTTTTATCCAATACTTATCTCAGAACAATTAAGTATATCCATTGTTTGGCAGCAAGCATTCCTTGTATATCACATTTGTGGGTTCGGGATTGTTGCAAAACTGTAAGTATTTATATATATTTTTATTTTTTTTATATTTATGAAACTAAAATGTATATTGTTTTAACTTTAGAATAAAATTCAAAGTTTTAAAACTTACTTATTACCTGCTGGATTCAACATTATTGAAAAGTGTGAAATTGAATGGTAAGTTGGCTTTATAAAATTAATTTTCTTATGTTTATGTAATTATTAATATAATTTCTGTATCATGTTTGAGAATGTTTTGCTTATTACTTTAAACTTTCTATAAGTTGAACATCCTTAACTCAAATTTAATCTTTGTCTCAACTTAACTCCCAGAGACAGAGGAATTCTGTGTTTCCATGAGTTAAAATAGTTTTGAAATCACATCTTGCTAACTTTAAATTTAAGATCTGGAGACTTTATTTTAGGTCTGTTTTTCAAGGGAGTGGACAATATTATCAAAAACTTGAAGGTTAATATTGTATAGAATTGTGCCTTGATTGTTAAAATTTTGATTTTTTGTTATACAATGTTTTGTGCCAAAAGTAGAGATCTTATTCTTAAACACAAATTGACCAATCAAATCTTAGCATTTTAAAATAATTATTTTTTAAATGTTTAAGTTTTAAAATTTTTAAATATAGCAATTTCAAAACAACAAATACATTTGTGATTTGACAATTTACTGAGTTATTAGTTAACCAAATTTATGAATTTGTCTACATACATCTAATTTGGAACTAAACATTCATAGTGTATAAATTTATAAAGTTTAAATTGTATTTTACATTCTCATCACTGATACAACCAGTTAATAAGTGTATTGACCATTTTCATTTTGAAGTAGATTGAAATGGCAAACAAGAGGAAACTAAAGATTTTGTCAATAGCTGAAAAAGTATCCATCATAAAAACTGGAGGAAAGCAGAAAGAAAAATTAGAAATTGCAAAAGAATTTGGCATTTCATCAAGTATTCCCTCTACATATTTGAAAAACAATGAGAGGATTTTAGAGAGCTTTAATGAATGACAGAATCAGACAGAACAGAAATCATAAATGTAATTATTCAAATACTGAAAAATACATGCTGAAGTGTACAGTGTAGAGATAAGAACATTCTTGTCAATGGAAACTTAGAGAAAAACCTGAACAATTTGGTTCAGGTTTTTCTATAAATTGGTACATACCAGATTCAAGACAAGTACCAAAAGCACCAGGCATGGAATAGTTTTCAATAAATTCTGCAGTGTAAGAGAAAGATTGGATGAAGTGATGAAAAGTTTACCAGAAATTATATAGAACTATAACTTTGATGACATTTTCAATCTGACAAAACAGGCTTATTTTTGAAGTGGTATTCAAAGATAATTGATGTCATGGAGGTAAAATCAAAGAACATGTAATTTTTCTTTTGGGAACAAACATTACAAGTAATTGAAAACTGTCATCATTATTAATTAGAAAATCTTTAAAATTATAAGTTTCTGCAATGCCAAGTCAGTACCTATACAATATACAGCAAATAAGAAAATGTGAATGGCATCAGATCTTTTTTTCCTAACAAGCTAGAAAGTTAGACACAAAAGTGACTGTCAAAAACAGAAAAATTATTCTTTTTATCAACAATTGCCATGCACATTTGGTGATTCTCATTCTGAAAGCTATAATAGTTCAATTTTTACCATCAAATATTACTTATAGATTTGCAACTTTTAGATCAGGGAATCATTCAATCCCTTTAAATTATGAAATATAAAAAATTTATCATACAAGAGATGTTGCATGTTATTGGAGATAACCCTGCTAAATGTAATGCAAATGAATAACAAAGGTTAAAGTTCCACAAAACACCATTGCAAATAGCTTTACAAAAGCAGTTTCGGTTAACAGTTTGTTGATGCTTTGAATAAGTTTGCATTTTCATCAGAATTCTTTGACTATATTGAAGACTGGGCTGATCTTATTACAGAATAAATGATGAATAAATGTTGTTAAAAGATTTTTTTGTCAACATTGACAATGAACTAGCTATCTGCACACATCTGAAGACTACATTATTGCTTAAATAAAGAAGCAAGCTCAAGAAACAAGCAATGAGGGTGAGAAAGAACTAAATCTTCTCAAAGGAAAATATCCTGGTTTCTCTAAAAGTTGCAAAGTCAGAAAAGCTCTCAGGCTTTGAAGGGTGCTTTCTAAAATCTACATCATTCATAAAACAATGTTTTCAGCAGTCAACCATATCAAAAACATTGTTGAGCAGGAAGCAATGAATCATCAATGACAAACTCATGTAATAGATTTTCTTCACTAATAGTGTTAATGTTTTGTTATTTTGTACATATACACATTTAAAAAATAATAAAATATAATATATTTAATTCTAACTATGTTGTTTATATTATGATATTTGTGATTTAATTAAAATAACAGTTTCTTTCACTCAAAATTTTGTTAACTTGAAATTTTTTCCTGCTCTTTCCATTTTGAGTTATTGAGAGTCCTTACTGTTTTAAGAATTTTGTAAACTATAATGTAAATTTATACTTCTGACAAAATAAGTTCCTTAATAATGAAAAAGTGTCAATTCACTACAGTAATTTCATCATAAAGGGACTATTCTATTAGAAGTGTAAACTTATGTTTTATGGTTCACTAAATTCTTAGAATTTTAAAATTAAAAACATTAATGTCAATTTTTACAATTTTGTGAATATTTACTTATTATTATTATGTTTCATTAGGCATGGGAAGAAAGGAGTTTTGAAAGATATACATATTTTACTAGCTTCTTCAAAAGAAAATTTTGCAGAAGTTTGGACACCTGTTTTATTGGCTGCACAAGCTGAAATTGTACATAGATTTCCTCCACCTAGAAATACATCAGGTACATTTTAATAATTTAAATATAGAAAACAAATTATACAAATTACATTGTCAGTGATTTTTATCTTATTATTTGTAATAAAAATGAATTGTGTTATTTTATATTCAATTTATATTAATTGTTTATTTAATTTTTATTTTTGCTTCAAGTTTCATATTTATAGCTATATATAGTATTTAGATTGAAAAACTATTAATTTATATCATTAACTAATTTCTTAAATATTATATTTATATTTACACAAATTTAAAAATTTTGTACAACTTTAGGTTCTGTCTGTAACATAGACATCGTTCTGACAGACCCTTCCTGTCCTCAGAGTATTGTGCGGCGAGCCAATCAAATGAAAGTTCCATTAGTTTCAATTGAATGGGTTGTCCAGTGTCTTATCTCAGGCTATAAACTTCCAATTGATTTACATCCCAAGTTCAGTTATGACGCATAAAAGATGTATGCATTCGAATTGCATCAAAATGTTGACATTTTGTGATTTTCTTGATGTAGAATGTTACACATGTAATGTCTTCTTAGAGACGTGGCTATAATGGCTTGTGAAAATATGAAATTTTGTAATTATTTGTTTTTGTTATTTTCATGTCATTGTATATTTTAATTTTTGGGGGTATATAATTATTTTTAAAATCTTTATATATATAAAAATGAAATTGGGTATTTTTAAATTGGTTTGATTTTGTATAAATTTTACAGTTTTTAAAAAAATCTGCAGACAATAATTGAGAATATTTACATTTTAATAAGAGACGGAGAAAAGATTTTAATTATTGAAATTGTCAACTTACACAAAAATTTCAAAATATGTAAGTGGTATTTCTGGTAATTAAAATTGCATAATGATTATTGACAATTTCAAATTAATGAATTCTTATTATAAGTATAATGGCAGTGATTTTACACAGTCTAACTTTTTATTCATTTGGATACTAATCCAAAAAATTTTTGCTTAGAAATTGAATAAGTACATTTGTAATAGGCATTGCCCTCTATCTATAAAAATAAACAGATTACATACTTTACAAGATATGTAACAATTGTAAAGAGACCATTTCATTTTGTAACATACTTATGTTATAAATTAAAGAGGAAAAAAAAGGAAAGAATTTCTAATTTAATATTTTATTTCCATCAGCTCGATTTTATATGAAGTCACACAAAGTCAAGCACTAAATTATTTTTTGTAGGTGCTTTCATGTCTTTAATATTGTTCCATTGATATAATTGATGTATAAATGTATTCGTACAAATATGCTAGCAATATAGGATCATCATGTAATTCCATTATCTTGTCTTGTTTTAGGAAGGAATTGTCATTCTCTGATTTGTCATGTATAATATCATATTTTAATAAAGTAGTGAATTGTCAATTTGGTAATAAACATCTTTACATATCATTCTATTTCTTTTTTTTGTCTCCAATTAAAGATTCACATTTAAAATTTATTAATTTTCATATTATAAAAAACAAATTTCTTTTTTATAATAATAAAATTATTTTAAATAAATCTATTTATAACGTCAAACATATTTTACATGTTTCAGTATGAAACTAAATCATCACAGTAAGTATATAAACATTGTTACACAGGTATTATATATGGAGTAACACATTGATTAAAGGTATAATGTAATAGTAAGTAATTCATCACGCAAAATGTTTTGAAACTCCAGTAATACATGTTTACAAAACAGCAAATGTTTTTGACCCTATCAGGGTCTTCCTCAGGCTACATTTATGAGGAATTCAAATACGTGGGAAGTGGAGCAAGAAACCGAACGAATGCGATTCAAACTTTAGAACAGTAATGTTAATATTAAAAATAGAACGCTACACTTGTGCTAAAATGACAGTTAATCACGTGTAAAATCAAGCTTGCGAAACGTTGAATGCTGGTGAAATACATACAAATCAAAGTCAGTTATGGGAGTGTGTTCCCTCATAACAAAATTTCCATGTGTGAGAGATGCTGACTGCATCCTTAGAGTTGATGCACGTGTTATGTAATTCCGCTTTATATATTTTGAGGGTCTCCATGTTTCTGAGCTGATCAGTACGGTGTGATAGCCTGATCAGACGGGCATTTTGTAGATCAGCTGTGATTCCCGGTTCGGTGACAACAGTTGAAACGTTTTTGTGTGATGAATTATATTTCCTCCAGTATTTGCTAAGAAGTTCATTTGTTATGTAACAGTAAATGATACTGTAAATTCTTTATTTTAAGGGGCAACACACAATATTTACTAAAAATTTCTATTCATTAGAGCAGTGGTTCCCAACCTTTTTTCATTAGCGTACCCCGTGACATGCCATATCTCTAGATTGTACCCCGTGACATGTCATATCTCTAGATTGTACCCCGTGACATGTCATATCTCTAGATTGTACCCCGTGACATGTCATATCTCTAGATTGTACCCCTCATTTAAGAAATTTAGTGAGTAACCGTATTGTTAATTTTACATATTGTAACTATAAATTAAAGAAAAAAAACTAAAAGAAAAAATGTATAATAAAGTTGTGATTGTTGCAAGGAACATTATTTATCTAATAATTTTTTAATACTATTAGTTTGTGATACATAATATATTATTTTTTCTGCCATAATAACAAACTTTTTTCTGTACCCCTAAACAACCTATCGCGTACCCCTAGGGGTACGCGTACCACAGGTTGGGAATCGCTGCATTAGAGTGATCATTTTCATATACAGTGGAAAATAGAAGTGAAGAATATTAACTATGAAATTGATAGCAATACAAATTTAAGTGAGTAAATACATTGTACTTGCGATTCTTAATAATGCAACAAAACTATGACATAGTTTTGTACCTAAAACAATAAAGTACCACACCATCACCGAAAATTAAGCAATACTGACGTCATCATTGTTGCAAAACCCTGCTGTTTTTATGGATCATACCCAGTAATGCAGCAAGAGATGCTGATTGCTCACTTAATGTAACAGTATGGTGACCAGATTTTTTTCAGCAAATCCGGAGACACGTGTCAAACCACTTTTTAGGGTACACTGTAGCAGCGTACATGTATAAGTACTGTATTGTCAAATGGGTACTGTACAAATACGCATGACAGATTGATTGAGCTTGTTCGCTTCAATTAAATAGCTTTCCTTAAATAAGGTTTATAGCTATTTACTTTTGGCTCTTTTTGTATCCGCGTATTAAAATTTGACTCTGGAATTTCCTCAAAAAGTTGGTTGGTTTATTAATTAATTTAATTAAAAAACCCTTAAGTCCTTATCCCGAGATAACTCGGGCAGATTACATAGCGTTACAAAACAAACGATTTTTGGACCCCCGAAAAAAATTTTTTTTTTTGGATTTTTGGATGTTTTTTAAGTCTCCAAATTTTTTCAAAAATTTTTTCCCACGCGAAAAAATTTTATCGCGATTTTAATCTACCTTTAATGACGCACGATTAACGCTTAATTGTTTTTTAATGGGATTTTTTTAATCAAATTTCATTCATCGTTCTAAAGTTCTAGTGCACGGATTTTACTTCGGTAAAGTTATTTAAAGCTAGTTTCTGATGTCAAAAACGACCTCCAATAGTTTTTTTAATTTTTTTAATTATGTAATATATTTTATTATATATACATTTAATTAAATTGGGGGGTCGGAAATCGCAATAAAAAACATTTTTTTAAATATTTAAAAATATACAGCCAGCTAGTATTCGCCCTACTATAAACCCTTCGCCTCCTGTAAGTTTTATGAGAATGTCCCGGGAAATCCGACACCAACTGTTCTCAAGATCATCCAGCTGTAAACACAATGTCTCATCGGTGTCAAATTTCCCAGAAAGGCGAGACAATGGAAAATAAAGTTTGAAGCTTTTTCCTCAAAATTAACGCATTTCTTTCGTTTTTTTTTTCAGTTTTAAGTATTTTTTTATGTTTAATTACATTAACATTAAAAATTGGAAAGTACCAAAATAGTTAAAAAATTACATGGCAACTCTGAAGACATTGGACATGTCCTCTGGCAGAAAAACTGTGGCAGCGATAATATTACAGTAACCACAATTTTTAATTAAATTGACAGAAGAGTAGCGTAAACAATTTTAAAGGTAACCCTATCTTATACCACAATTTTCAAGTTTATTTTATTTAGATGTTTTTCACTGAGCTTTACTAAATACTTTTCAAGCTGATTCCGCCATTTTTATGACGTTATTATTTAATACAGTAGACCCCCTATAACACGGTAGATACGTTCCGTGTTATATGAATTCCGTGTTGTACGAGTCACTTAAATACATGAGCCAATTACAGCTCGGCACGTGTGCAGTTTAGGGACTACGTCTGTTTGAAAAGTTTTCTTCCATAAAATTAATCGATTCTAGACTAATTTGACTCAATATTTCCAAAACACATAATTTTTTGGAAATAATTTATATAAACTATGCAATAAACAAAAATTGTAGGATTACTTACCGAGTGTGCACCGTTCAACGACGCCATTGCTTAAGCTTGTTTTCGTCGCAGAGCGACTCATCGAACAGCGGGCGCGTGTTTTCTGATAAGTTATTTTTCTGCGAAAAATTCGCTAAACTTGGGACACATCATTAATAAAAATATAATTTTTATGGCTGTTGAATAATGAATGTTTTTTTAGTAGGTTCAGTAAACTCGTTTAAACTCAACGGTTTGTGCAATATCTGCTATTTGTCCAGATTCGACCAATCCTGTCGCGACACGAGTCGGACGTTTTACCGTGTTATACGAGTCTCTTTTAGCGTGTTATACGAACACGATCGCAATTTTTTCGCCGTGTTATACGAATTCGTGTTATATGAACCCGTGTTATAGGGGTCTACTGTACTTAACTACAGTTAAATATATTAAGACAACTCAAACTCGTCAAAACATAAATTGTCCTACTCGTCTAATATTAAATTAATCAAACATATTCAATATAATTATGAGAATGCTTTGTATATAGTCGCAATCGTTATTCATTGAGATTGTTTTTTTCAATAATTATTAAGGCAATCCATTTTTCTAAGTAACTCTCTGATATATATTTTTTATTTTTTCTATTTGCTTTCCTTATTACAAGCACCAAGGAGCTCTGTAGATAGAAGAAACTAGTATGTATAACTGATTAAGAAAAAGATAAACTATGGGATAAAAAGAGTGGAAAAGTAATTTAAATTACTTTGCCATTCTTTCCGACCCCCCTTAAATATTAGAATATCAAAAACAATTTTTAATTAAAATGACAGAAAAGTAGAGAAAACTATTTTAAAGTTTTCACTCTACAAAGCAATAAATTATAAAAACGTTAAGACAAAGCACGTTGAATTGCCAACAACAAAAGGCAAGTCGAAAACTACATAAGACGCAGAAAAAGAGAAATTCAAAAGATGCATAAAAACTAATTATTAAAACGAAAATTATTTTAGAAAATCCAAAAAGAATCGCAAAATTACTTTCAAAAGTTGATTTTATCACAAATTTGAACAAATCACAATTGATCAGTGGCGTGCCGTTATTGGAAGTGGTGGATGCGCCGCTTCCCTTGTATTTTCGAAAAAATAAATACATATTAATTTTAATTATATGAAAATAATCGCACGATATTTTATTATAACCGCATTATGTATCTTATTACAAATTTCTATACTACACGTGATAAAAAAAAAGATAAGATCGCTATTGTATATTCGAATGTTAGTGGCGGAGTGGAAGCGCTGTATTGTCAGCATCCAAAAAGCCAGATTCGCGCATGCGCTTTACAGAGCACCAACCTCACCCGGTTTTGCTGGTGGAAGCCTAGGACCTTGTTGGATGCTACACGTATACTGCATCCAATTCTATCCAGGACCTGTTCTGGGCTGTTAGCCGTCTGCCCGCTAGATATTTGGCCGTCGTCGCCCGATTACGTGAATCACGAATAGATTTATAACTTAACCCAACCTATAAGAATTTACTGGTATGTTTTTATGATAGTTCTGTATAGTAGACAGGAGTTTTAAAAAATCCATTAAAATATTTGATATTTTTATTCCGCTCTCCGATTTTATATTACTCACGGATTTCAATGTTAAACCAGTGATATTACGATTTCATATGTCCCATTTTTAAGACGATGTAGAAAAAAACGCGTACAATTCTTGTATAATGTTAAAAAATTAACTGTTACTTTGGTAGCATAATTTACAACTAAATTTAATGAATGAGAGAGATGCACGAGGTTCAGAAAAAGCTCTAGAATTTATTTTCCTTAAATTTACGATTTATGTATCCGTTTGTCATAAAAATTTGTCTTTCAACTTTTTTCCCGAGACTACAAATATTCGAGTACAAAGTAACTGGTTTCGACTTATTTCTACTTAAGAAGTAGTTAAATAATTAAGCGATTAGGGAATTGGGGACAAACAAAACTCTGATGAAAGAGTCGAAATTTTACTTAAACAAAAGATTAACCGAACCATCTCTAGCCGAGTATAGTGGAGACTGATTTCTTCGTATTATTAATGTAATAGAGACAAATTTTTCCAGTTCAATGAGAGTGACCGAAAGTTGTAAATTTTGGAAATTTCTGAGGACACTTGGTCCTAAAACGAATTAGTTAAAAAACAAATGACTTTTAAGTTTAATATATTTAGATTTTTACAGCTATGGTTGAGAAACGTTTAAAATCTACAACAGCCCTGTCGCGTCCTTTGAGATATACTACAGTAGTGATGCGACAAAAGAGATATTTGACATTGACTGGTATTGGCAGCCTGGGGATTTGGTAGTCCGCGTGTATGCACGCTCTGCAACCGTCTTCGATTCCATCCATTAGCCAGTCGTAGGGATAAAAAAATATATTTGAAAAT